CAGTGAGAGTGCTTCCAGAGGTTCCTTCAAAAGGATTTTATGAAAACCAAGGCAGTGGGAGTGCTTCCAGGGGTTCCTTCAAAAGGATTTGATGAAAACCAGAGCAATGGGAGTGCTTTCAAAGGGACCATTTCAAGAGGGTTTGAAAAAAGGGGGAGAAGGGCACACTTAGGAAAGCATTCTATTATTAATCATGGGAGTTATGCTCATCTTAGCGGCATAACACTTGGCTGAACAGAACTGAGGGAGGTTGGTTGAGATAAATGTAGAAGAAACTGGTTTTAATGCTGATTTAGTCAGAAAGTTTGGCAAATAATGAAACTTTATAGTGAGTTTATTTCTGTTTGCAGCTTTGTGCTGCAGTCAGTATTCCACCTTTTTGAAGGTGGCATGTGGATATATGGAGTAGTGTTGGGAATTGGTTAAAATCTCATAATTGATGATGGTTCATTACAACATATCGTGATGAAAAATACTTGGTTAGTGTTGTTTATAAAATTTTCCTGGTTATGTGTGTTACTGCACAAAAAATAAAGAAAAAAACGTAGTTCTTTCGAATTGTTTTGCAAATTGAACAAAATGCATTTGCAAAGTTTACATCTTTAAAGGATGACTAGTATGTTATGAATATAAATTTCTTGGAGTCTTTAAGATAAATTCAATCATGACAAGGAACGAGCTTGTAGTGCTTTATGTAAATTTAATGACACAGACAAAACCAACCTTGTGAAAAATATTGTTAAAGCAAACAAATGTTCCAAAATTGTTTGTGTTCGATTATGAGAAAACATGATCGATTGCTTGGCCGTTTAGTCATTGCAACCAATCTTCGATTATTCCAATTAATTGGACCACCACTAGTCTGGAGCAGACAGTTCCTGACTGATCTCTGTAGGATAAAGTTTACAAATACATAGAGATGCATGGAGATAATCCCTAACACATTTCAGTTTCAAATGGTTTAGTCAATCTACCTTTGTGCTAGGCTGTTGCTAAGTGAGACGACACCTGTTGCAAATGTACAGTGAACCTGACAAGGTAGCTTGGTAACCCAGTAACCTACTTGTCAGTTCATATGTCAGAATTTATGTAAGGTTCTATATCTCATTAATTTTAGAAAGTATAAATGTTCATTTTGTACATGCATACATAGGGCTGATTAGAAACCTGAACCCAAAGAATCTGTGATAAGGAGATAAACTCTCTAATGCATATATGTATATAATATGTCAGGGTATAGTAAGATGATTATCTTAGGTGAGGCTTGTTCTCACATTTACAGCTTAGTTCCTGGCATGGTAGACTTTCCTTGGTATTACTGTATTTCTGGTAAGGACTACCAGAAACTAAATACTTAGGAATAAAGAATCTTTCTGCAGCCATATATCTGAAACACTGATTAGGGGTGGTGGGGTAGCCTTGTGGTTAAAGCGTTCGCTCATCATGCTGAAGAAATGGGTTCGATTCCTAACATGGGTAAAATGTGTGAAGCCCATTTCTGGAGTCCCCTGCCATGATATGGCTTGATTATTGCTAAAAGTGGCTTAAAACTAAAGTCAATCACTCACCCACTGAAACACTGTTTCAAAAGAATTAAACACACACCTTTTATTCAGACCTGTATTTGCACATACGAGCTGAGCAAGTCATGGCATTACTCCAAAAAGAAAATATCTGAGACATTATAAATTATTTAAAGCAGTCTAAACCAGGGGACTGAGAACACCATGCTGACGAGAAACGTAACTCAAGTTTTACCTTGACATGCCAAAGTGGAGGGTCAACATGATCCAAATTATGTATTCTAAGGGTCCATACAGTTGGTTTGTTGTTTAACGCTGCATTCAGCAATATTCCAGCTATATGGTGGCAGTCTGTAAAAAAATCGATTCTGGACCGCACAATCCAGTGATCAACATCCTGAGCATCGAAATACGCAATTGGGATATGATGCCATGTGTCAACCAAATTAGCAAGCCTGACCACCCGATCCTGTTAGGTCCATACAGGCAGTATGAGGCAGGGTTTTACACAGACTTTGGATAAAGAGAGTCATGGTGACTCACAGTATTTATTTCTGGGAGTCATTTTCAATATTTGGAAGTCATGAAAATTTCAGTGTGATATTTATGTGTGTGTATCAAAATTTCTGTTTTATTGTCATTTTTATGTTAGTTAATAAATAGTATATTTTTCACAGTTCAGTTGAGTCATAACAAACTTCAGTATACTGAACAAATAATCAGGCTTGTGATTTCTTCACTGTAACATACAGTTATTATCATGAATTGAAAGAAATATCCATCAATGAACAATCATTGTTTGCTTATATCGATTTTATTGAACTGAATTCTGAGGATCACTCATAAAACTTGTGTCTAGCTTGAATCGTATGATAATATTTTGAGAATCTTTTACACAATTGTTGCGTCAAATACACAGGAATCATGCGTCATGTAAAACCCTGTATGAGGGTCCTTATGGTAATGAAATGGAATAGTTTACTAATGTTTCAGTAATTTCCTTGGATCCTAGAATGTCAGTGATCGTGAAGACAGTGGTCTTGATGGATGGATGATATGGCGGGTAGCCATAGCTACTCTTGATGGGTTGTGGGTGCAATGAATATTGTTATATGACAATATATGTGTCCCTCTGTATGCAGTGTATTTATGCGTCCATTCATTTTGAATATCATATCCTACGAGAAATAAACAAAGAGGCCATTTTGATAGGAACTTGACTAATAGTACTGTTAATCCCCCATTTCCTCAAATACCAACCTACATTGAGTCATGCGTTACTGATTCCCTTTGTTTTACAAATGTGCAGATTGTGATAGTTACAAAGGCTTAGACATTCAAATCTCTTTCAAAACTTAACACCTGCTAGAGTATATACAGACAACAAGCATCTTATTGAAAAACACTGCTTTGTCCTCCTTATTGTACAGAATATAATTGCAAGGGTTGCATGATGACCACCAAAATAAAAAAAGTGATATGTAGTTTGATGTAATTGAAAAAGTAATTGAAAAATTCAATGACATTGAGATATTAATTAATTAAATTACAATTACAAATTACATTTTAAACATTCAATTACAAATTACATGCAATTACATATATTTTTGTAATTAATTACATTCAATTACAATTACAAATTACAATTACCCCATGTCTGTTATATGTGTCCCTCTGTATGCAGTGTATTTATGCGTCCATTCACTACTGTGGGGTGGTGGGGTAGCCTAGTGGTTAAAGCGTCTGCTAGGCACGCTGAAAGCCCAGGATTCGATTCCCACATGGGTACAATGTGTGAAGCCCAATTCTGGTGTCCCCTGCTGTGATATTGCTGGAATATTGCTAAAAGCAGCATAAGATTAAAACCCAACTCACTCACTCACCCATTCTCTACTATGGTGTGTACTGGATGAACATTTGTGTTCTGCTCAAACCCTGGTGTCTGATTGTCACCTTTATATTGCTTGGCCTCCTTAACATCATGACCCAGTCAGCCATTTTTAAGGATGGAAACCGATAACCAGACAATATTAACACGATTTGGAATGAAATTCATAACTTATCATATGTCAGTACATCCAGCAAAGAATTAAATGTCCAGTTAAAATTAATGTTGCTGAAAGACTGACACAACAGCCGGGCTGAACATGCACTATTTCCCATTGCTCAGCTGTTGCTGTAAGTATCATTCAGTTTGATGTACAGCTAGCGTATGTACTTCACATTATAAGTGTCGTATGTGTTTTCAGGAAGAGGAATTAAATAGGGACAGAACACTGTGGTGGGGGATATTGATGACCTTCTTGTTGAACTTTCTGCAAACTGCTGAACAGATATCCCTAAGACAAGCCTGTTATTCCTACTTTAAGATCCCAATTGTGTGTAAAATTTGTAAACCATTGCCTTGGTTGACCTCAAGCGGTAAACATCAATGAGTCCAATTACAATCTTTCTGTCTTTCCTGACTGACAAACACTGATTTAAATGAAATTCATTTATTTGGGGGATTATCCCAGCTCACTCAGTCTAAAGCAATCGTGTACGAAGTTTTTAAGCTTGGTCATGTTTACACAGGCCCTCGTGTCTTTGCAAGGATTAAAGATGTTAAAAACACATAAAACATTTGAGATGACCCCCCAACTCGAAATGCCTCACAGTACAATACATCATGACAAGGCCGGACACTTTAGTATACCCCACCCGCCTGCTTTGCCGATCGCTACGCTACCATCCCATGCAATCGATTAAAACTTAATGTAAACATAATCATGGATGATTGGCCTATCAAGCAACACTCATGACACCTACCAATTCTTTATTGTTATTTCTGCAAGTCGATTGAAACCCGATTTTGACCCTCAACTAAACGATCTTGGCACAAATGGATGACAATGTGTCCGGACAAAACGGGGGTGTGGTCAAAGCAAGCCCTCTGACTGGTTGATCCTTGTTTAGGAGATATTACAACTGATGCGTTCTCGAGAAGCCATTGCTTGAAAAATATTCTAACATTAAGCAGTCGATGAAAGAAAAAAATCAAGTGAATTTATAAAGAATTGCAGATTTTGCAAGCATTGACCAATCAGAGGGCTTGCTTCAACCACCTCCCCGTTTTGTGAGGACATATCACCATCCATTTGTGTTTAATTGAGAGTCAACATCGGGTTTCAATCAACTTGCAGAAATAGCAATAAAGAATTGGAAGGTGTCATGAGTAGTGACCGATAGGCCAATCATCCATGATTATGTTTACATTAAGTTTTAATCGATTGCATGCGATGGTAGCGTAGCGATCGGCAATGCAGGCGGGTGGGGTATACCAAAGTGTCCGGCCTTGTCATAATTTATTATATGGTATAGCATTTTGAGTCGGGGGTCATCTCAAAAATATCTTTTTTTTAATCTTTAAACTTCGCAAAGACATGAGGGCCTGTGCATGTTTAGTCATACTAATGCCTATATGTTCTGTGTGTTCAGGAGAGTCTGGAGGCTGACGACTACCAGCATGTGTTGGAGAAGAAGGTGGAGGGCCCTGATGGACAGGTCAGTGTTCCACACCTTACTCAAACATCTCAGAGAAAATGCCGGCGGTGGGTAGCTTGGTGGTTAAAGTGTTTGTCACGCCGAAGACCCAGGTTCGATTCCCTACATGGGTACAATGTGTGAAGCCCATTTCCACTGTTCCCCGTTGTGATATTGCTGAAATATTGCTAAAAGGGGCGTAAAACTAAACTCACTCACACAGAGAAATTGTCATCATCAGTACTTCATAAGCCTGTTTATTAGGGATGCCATGATGTATCAATACTTTTTCTAAGACGATACAAGTATTGATACTTTCAAAACTGTATCGATTGGTTTAAATATGTTTATGTATCGTTTACATTTTGCAATTGTATCCTGTTTTTTGCTGCTATGAGAGTTATAAATGATTATTTTTCATGCACAAAGGTGGGAAATTAGAAATGTTTAATCTCTGAAAATAAAAAATGTTGATCTTTTCATGAACAATTATAAAATATGTAATATTAATGTTCAAAATGTAATGAAATTTTCCGCAATAATGCCTCGAAATTAGGTATCATGATACGTATCGAATCATGACATGGGTATTGTGATACGTATCGATTTATAAAACTTATGTATCGTGACATCCCTCCTGTTTATACTACTCTGAGTGTATTGTCAAACAGCAAAACAATGTTCCTGTGGTGGCCCTGCATGTATTCTGGGCTTACATCACAGGCTTTCTTTATGTTCATATACACCATGTTCACACCCCTGAATGTTATATTTACACAGCTGGAATACTGCTAAGAGCACAGTCTATCTATATAATCAGTACTTTGCTGAGCTGTAGTAGGCCGTTTCCAACACAAATGGAATGAGTGGAAACGTAATGATGTCCCCTGCTTTTTTTAACACTTATGAACGCATCTTTTAAGAGTTAACCTTTACTGTGTTAATTGATTATAGATCTGAATTTTGTAAGAATAATTGTTGATTTCAACCTCATGAACCAGAGACATTCTGATCTGATAGATCAAGCTGGTGAAGTCACTTCTAAAATGAAGCTAAGGTCTGAAATGGGACAAGGGTATGTCATATTTGTAGATTTATGTTATTTGATAATCAAGGATGAATATTATGATGAGAAACAATATCTAAATATTGTTTGAGGTCAGCAGTGACAAGACACTGGTTATTAATGATGTCTGTAATCTGTTCCTGCTCTCCCTGGGGCTGTGGGGTAGCCCAGTGGTTAAAGCCTTCACTCGTCATGCCAAAGACACAGGTTTCATTCCCCACATGGGTACAATGTGTGAAGCCCATTTCTGGTGTCCCTCGTCGTGATATTGCTGGAATATTGCCAAAAAGTGGGATAAAACTAAACTCACTCACTCACTCTTCTCTCCGTGACAGGTATTTGTGTTTGCCAGTTATGCCAGCTCAGCGTTTGCAGCTATCCGCCGCGCCATTGGTCTGCGACAAGACATCTACCTGGAGTCTGTTGCTCCCGCCAAACTGCCATACCTCGAGTTTGTCAGCAACTCAAAGAGTGGACAGGACTTCTTCCTCAGGTGAGCTGGGCATCAATGGAACCTATGCTTTTTCTTCTCATCAGAGAATAGTGAGGGTGATAAATGTTACGTTACGCTGCATCACCAATATTGCAGCTATTCACAGCCAGCAGAGAAGAGAACATTATCTGATGTTAATATGTTTTTTCTCCATTTTGGTGGTCAAATATGTAGATCGCTGAGGTCAAATCTTGGGATAAACTGTTCTGCTCCATGTATTGCTGTATATACCCTGTAATGTATGTCTAACTTGTTTTCTTCTCCACAGCAATGATCAGCAGTATTTACTGAAGACTGATAGAAAATATTGCATTGACTTCTTCCTCTCCACCCTTGGGTAAGTCCCACTTGATATTCTGATAGCTTTCCCTAACACCCAGTTTTTCTTCTCCACCCTGGGGTAAGTCCCACCTAATGTCCTCAGAGCTTTCCCTTACATCCACTTCTTCCTCTCCACCCTGGGGTAAGTCCCACCTGATACCCTCAGAGCTTTCCCTTACATCCACGTCTTCCTCTCCACCCTTGGGTAAGTCCCACCTGATACCCTCAGAGCTTTCCCATACATCCACTTCTTCCTCACCACCCAGGGGTAAGTCCCACCTGATACTCTCAGAGCTTTCCCATACATCCACTTCTTTCTCACCACCCAGGGGTAAGTCCCACCTGATATCCTCAGAGCTTTTCCTCACATCCACTTCTTCCTCTCCACCCTGGGGTAAGTCCCACCTGATATCCTCAGAGCTTTCCCTTACATCCACTTCTTCCTCTCCACCCTGGGGTAAGTCCCACCTGATACCCTCAGAGCTGTCCTGTAATCCACTTCTTCCTCTCCACCCTGGGGTAAGTCCCACCTGATATCCTCAGAGCTTTTCCTCACATCCACTTCTTCCTCACCACCCAGGGGTAAGTCCCACCTGATATCCTCAGAGCTGTCCTGTAATCCACTTCTTCCTCTCCACCCTGGGGTAAGTCCCTACCTGATATCCTCAGAGCTTTCCCTTACATCCTCTTCTTCCTCTCCACCCTGGGGTAAGTCCCACCTGATACCCTCAGAGCTGTCCCATAATCCACTTCTTCCTCTCCACCCTGGGGTAAGTCCCACCTGATATCCTCAGAGCTTTGCCTTACATCCAGTTCTTCCTCACCACCCAGGGGTAAGTCCCACCTAATGTCCTCAGAGCTGTCCTGTAATCCACTTCTTCCTCTCCACCCTGGGGTAAGTCCCCACCTGATATCCTCAGAGCTTTTCCTCACATCCACTTCTTCCTCTCCACCCTGGGGTAAGTCCCCACCTGATATCCTCAGAGCTTTCCTTTACATCCACTTCTTCCTCTCCACCCTGGGGTAAGTCCCACCTGATATCCTCAGAGCTTTCCCTTACATCCACTTCTTCCTCTCCACCCTGGGGTAAGTCCCACCTGATATCCTCAGAGCTTTCCTTTACATCCACTTCTTCCTCTCCACCCTGGGGTAAGTCCCACCTGATATCCACAGAGCTTTCCCTTACATCCAGTTCTTCCTCTCCGCCTGTGAAGATTTGAGTTAGAATTGATCTTCAGTAATCCTTGCTTGTCGTAAGAGGCGACTAACAGGAGTGGGTGATCAGGCGCGCTGACTTGATTGACACATGTCATCGTATCCCAATTACGTAGATCGATGCTTATGCTGTTGATCACTGGATTGTGTGGTCCAGACTCAATTATTTACAGCCCGGCGCCATATAGCTGGAGTGCTGCTGAGTGTGGAGTAAAACTAAACTCACTCACTCTTCCTTTCCACCCTGAGGTAAGTTCCACCTAATATCGTCAGAGCTTTCCTTTACATCCACTTCTTCCTCTCCACCCTGAGGTAAGTCCCACCTAATATCCTCAGAGCTTTCCCTTACATCCACTTCTTCCTCTCTGCTGAGACTAACTATAACTAAAAGCCCCTGTTTCTGTACCCCTACAGTTTATACATGAAACTGCTGTGTTGTGTTTCAGTGACTACCTGCAGCACTTCCTCAAGTTTCCCCACTCCCTGATAGTCAAGTACCTGGGCTTATACTCCATACAGATGCCAGGCGAGAGGAAGGTTGGTACTCCTACTACAACAGAACAATAGTGCTATGACAGTTGTAACTCCTATACTTTAACATAGATCTACGACAGTCGTTGTAAAACGGGATCCAGTATTATATACTTGTACCGAGCACAACGTGACAGAGTCCGAAGGCCTGTGGATGAGTTTGATATTGAAGTTGCGGTTGATTATTAAAAATATACTATCTGAAATCTGGCTTAAATTCTGCAACTTTTGCAATATTTTGAATGTTGACCTTTATTTTAACTTACCACTTCTACCACACTGACAGCTGAAACTTCTTATGGCTTTAACTTAAATATTATTTTCAAAGATAAGGAAATGTGGTTATTATCGTTATGAGCAGAAAATGGGTACCAGGTGGGTTAAGTCATGTGACTATTAACCTTCGAGCGCCTCACAGGCAGCTTGGGTTATCCGGGGTAGTAATAATCAGATTGTGCGCTTTGAGCATCCTTATGGTTGGAAACAGCAGCATTGAATGTAATGTTATCATTATTATTATGATTTTAGACCTATCTGAGTGAGCTACAGTGTCATGGATCTACTTTTCTTGTGTTAATAATAACTGTATATTTTCTCTGAATTTTGTATTAAAGTAGTCCCCTTGTATGTTTTATTACAGAAATACTTTGTGGTCATGCAGAGTATATTTTACCCCAGTCATCGTATTGAGACAAGATTTGACATTAAGGGAGCTCTGGCTGGCCGATATCAACAGGTAGGCATTTGTCTTTCCTGGGATGGCAGGACTCGGGACCCAACTGTGACTCAACATTACTGCTCTTATACAGTTTGTGTACTAGTCCAGACAAATGCTGATTTTATTGTGCAATCCTAATAACTGGAAGGGGCCGGTGGGGTAGCGTAGTGGTTAAAGCGTTCGCTCATCATGCAGAAGACCCTGGTTCGATTCCCCACATGGGTACAATTTGTGAAGCCCCGCTGTGATATTGCTGGAATATTGCTAAAAGTGGTGTAAAACGTTAGTCACTCACGCACTCAATCAATTGCTGAAGGGGTGAATCAGGGTGACTGGGGAAGAGTGTATGGGATTTGTTAGTGGGTAGGGTGGGGTGCTGTGTTGGGGTGGGTGGTGTGCGTTAATACAGGGTGTTATTTGTTGGGGTGGGGAGAGGTGAGTTGGTGGGGGGTGGATTTATGGATGGTGGGTAGAATCTGAGGGAAAATAGGAGAGTGAGGCATGTACAAAGCGTTTGTATAGCAGGGGAGACAATCATACGCAGAAATGAAAACTATAGTCCGTTTGACTCAAAAGCGGACCGATGAATTGCAATCTAACTCGAAAACTAATAAACATAAAATACTCAATGAAACACTGATCATAATCAAAACGTCAGACCAACTCTCTGAGGTTTTTGCAGAATTTATGTCCTAAAAATAAAAAAATGTGTTTAACAAACTATCGTTAAAATATTGACACTGTTCACTATTTGTTACGAGAGAGGAGTGCAGAGAAAGGGACAGCCCGGTGTGCGAGAAAGGATGGAGACGGCACAGCACAGGTTAATAAATCAATAAGTTTGTCGGCACTTGTGCACGTGCTTCTCTAACACCTGGCTGTCCCTGTCTCTGCACTCCTCCCTCGTAACAAATAGTGAACTGTGTCAAAATTTTAATGATAGTTTGTTAAACAACATTTTGAATCTTAGGAAAGAAATTCTGCAAACAAATCACAGAGTTGGTCTGATGGTTTGATTATGATCAGTGTTTCATTGAGTACTATATGTTTATTAGTTTTCGAGTTAGATTGCAATTCATCGATCACGTTTGAGTCAAACAGACTATAGGTGCGACAGATGCCTCAAAAGTGCTACATACTTCTCAATTCTCAAACATGCTACTGATACCTCAAAAAATACGATAGATATCTCAAACATGCCATAGATATCACAAACATGTTGCAGATGTGTCAGTTGCTAAACACCTGTAACTAAGCTGTAGTTTCCATGGTAACGTTTTTCATGTTTCAGCCATACCCCCCAGGCAGCAACATTGTCACGGTGCTTAAAGACCAGAATTTCCTCAATGAAGTCATTGACTTGGGTGAGTACCTTGGTCCTGCCTAATAGAGTCTTGGTTACAATAGGTTCCCCGGGGAACAGGTGGCAATGGCCTCAAAGGTAAACTGACACAAACAAGTCAGAATGGCTACAAAAAATGTAGAGGCCCAAACAAAAATTCAAAGGGCCACCTAAACAAATTATATTCAACAAACTAAATGAATTTATCACATAAATTGTATTTTACATCAAACAGACTTAACGGTGAACAGATGAGATTAACATTGTTGATGATCACAAGTACCATGTGCACTGCTCTTAGTTGATGACTCAGCACTATTGATCACAGTTCTTGAGTGTGTGCCTGCGACACAATTGTAACTAATTGATTCCTCAATTGACTAGCACGGTTACTTAACATTACAGGTTATATCTGTTGTTCTTTCCTGGCAGCTTTGGTTTCCCCTTTAGTTGTGGCTGTTATGTGCTTTTAAGGCCATTTTGAATTTGAGGCCATTCTGACATAAATATAGACTCATGTAGCTCCAGAAATCATGTAACTTAAACATGTAATCATCATCTTAATAATATAAGAAAACATATGTTTATCTATAAAACAAATCCAATTGAAGAACAAACCATAGAACTCTGCCAATGTACACCTGCCAAGTAATCTAGACTTTGTTTGACTTTTATTTATTTTTTTCTCTTGGATCTTGGAGCCAGACCCATGACGATCCGGGTTAGAATTGGTCTTCAGCAACCCTTGCTTGTCATAAGAGGCAACTAACAGGATTGGGTGGTCAGGCTTGCTGACTTGGTTGACACACGTCATTGTATCCCAGTTGTGTAGACCGATGCTCATGCTGTTGATCACTGGATTGTCTGGTCCAAACTTGTTTGTTTACAGACCGCCGCCATAAAGCTGGAATATTGCTGAGTGCGATGTTAAACAACAAACAACCAGCTCTTGGAGCCAGACTAACATTAATTATAATTTCTCAAATGATCTTTCAAAATGTAAGGAAATTCTTATGTAAAGGATCAAAACTGAATCCAAGGTATTGATCCAACTTATGGACCGTCCGAATATATAGTTTAGATATAATTTTAATATTTGGTATTTACTATTGAAATCACCTGGGATGCGATTGGCAGTCGATACCTTGCCTTGCACGCGCAGTGCACATGCTCTGCATGAGCCACCCCTGTCCTGCCTGCACTACCCATCTTGTGAGGAACACATGGTTCATACTGACAAACAATCTCATTGTTCACAGCGATCCTTCGTAGCCTAGTGGATAAAACCGCCAAGCTAGTAAGCGAAGGGTTTCGAAAACCAGACATCAGCACTATATAATGGATGTTTTCAATAATGTGATATTTTCGATCATATTCAGTCATATCAATCTTCAAAACAAGTAAAATAATTCAAAGTCAAGGACTATTCCGTAGAAATCCCCCGGGCTGCGGGCAATTCCGTAGAAATACCTGGGCTGCGGGCAATTCCGTAGAAAATCCCCGGGCTGCAGGCAATTCCGTAGAAATACCCGGGCTGCGGGCAATTCCGTAGAAAGTCCCCGGGCTGCAGGCAATTCCGTAGAAAATCCCCAGGATTTCTTGGAGAAAGCCCGCAAAACTGCTTGAAGGGGTTTACTCGGTTAAAAAGAGAACCTGGCGAGACAATAGAGTGACATCACTGGAGGTTTATAAATGTAGTTAGTAGTGGGTCCCAACATAGGTTAAGATTTCAGTGATATTTACATTCTTATATTTATTTCTAATTTAACAATTGTAATAAAATTCTCTCAAAATGAGGCCATTTTGACGACAACCCAAACTCTCGCTGCTCGTAAGAGAAATTATGTTGAATCGTTGACCTGGTTGACAGCATGTCATTGAACCCTGATTGGATCATCTGACAAGGCTGCTGGGTTATAGCTGGATTATTGTAGTCAACATTACACAAGGAACTGTTTATGGATCACGTATAAGACAATCTCATAAAAGTCCATGATCACGTTACTTAGACCATACATAGCTTAGAAGGGATTTGGCTTTGAAAAAGTTCTTTATAAGGGTGAACTATGGCAGCTGTTGTAATAGAAAGCACAACCATTTCCTGCTAATCTGGATAGCAGTACACCTCTGTCATGTATTGAGAGATGAAATACAGTATTTATCTCAACACTAACATCAGTGTATGACTTGAGTGAAATAAACTTTTCTCTGGAGTACTAACAGTCTACATTACTGACACTACTAGTATAAGAGATGACATCTAAGATCAGTGTAAATGTACTTAATATGTGGTAGATTGGCCTTTTTAGTAAATATAGCAGGGCTCCAGATAACTTTTGGGGGTGCGAGTGTACTTACACATCATATTGCAAGTGGAGGTGTACTGAGAATTTTGAAGGAGTACTGACATGTTTTTGTGTGAGCGAGTTGGTGATGTGGTTTGTCTGGAAGATTCATCGATCACTATTTCCAACCATGTATTTGTATTTGAAGAAATGCTGAAATAGCGACTGTGTGATCGCTGAAATCTTATATTATGTAGTTTTTAGCCAATCGAAAAAATAGTGGCTTAATTGATTTTGAGTAAAATCGTGTTTACGAAACTTGACAAGTATTTATCTCAAATAAATCTCCATTTTACACGATACGCACGGAAATTAAATGTTAGATGTACAAAGGTATTTATGTGCGCCTTGAAATCTGTAGCCCTGTATATATGAACCAGATATTTTTGTATTCTAAGTGCAACCTCTTGTTCCAAACATCTGTATTGATGCTTCAAGTGTCCATTAGTAGTGTGACGATTCATTGATACACATCGATGCATCGATCCATGGGCAGCCGATACAGTGAATCGATACAAAGTTTTACATTGTTGTATGTCCCGATACGATACTTCAAATGGACCACGATACATCAATGTTTAACTTTGAATATTGCCGAATCGCGATATCTGTCAAGAAAAAAGACTTACTTTTGTTTTTAATGATTAAAATATATGCTTACTTATTTTCCCTTCATAAGTAAACGTTTTCTCAGAAATTCATGCGTCAAGAACTGTGTCAGACATAGCGCTCGCATGTTATTAACATTCACAAAGTCTGTGTATTAACTTATTTATCTTCTTTCTGAGTGAACACTGAAAGATGCTTGCGGAATTTGGCGTAATACTTTAAAATGGTTTTGTTTTGATCTTAAGGTGTTTTATAGTTGTGTTAGAATTAAAGATTTTAGTATCGCCACCCTTATGTCGGGATTCGTATCGTATCACAGCTTCAGTGCACAATACTTTCGCAATATATCGTCATGACTAAAATTTTAGTATTGTGATGTATCGTATGGCAGGTTGTATGCCAATACCAGCACTCGTGTCCATGTTTGCGGCATATTCCAAAGTTGGGGAGGACCTGATTCAGGACATGATGAATGAAAGGGCTGTTTAAAGGGGCATAAAGTCACTCACTTTCCACTGGATTCTGTGCATTATTTAAGTGCTTACTTTCAGTGCCTGAACTGTTTCTATAGGGGTAAAAACAAGTGTGTATTTTGACTTATTTTCAATGCAGATTAGTTCGTGGAAAGTTCCCCACTGACAATATCCAACAAGTGTCGTCAGCTTGAAAATGTTTATAAATTGAATGAAAATGTGACTCTACTAAACTTCACTGACTACAGTATATAAGTTCCAAATGTTACCATGGTTACAGGACCACAGAGGGAATGGTTCATCACCCAGCTTAAGGCAGACACCGAGTTCTTGAAGGAAATGGCAGTGCAGGATTACAGCCTCCTGATTGGTGCTCTGGTCGAGTCTTGTGGATAGCAGGAGCTCCACACTGATGAGCCCTAGTGAGACATGCTCTGAGAAGGCGTTTGTGGGAACCTGGTGGAGAGGCTGAAGAAGTGAGACATTTTCTTGTCCCCTATAAGGCTGGGTGGGTTGTCTTGTGGATAACGAAACTGAAACTGTCCCTAGTGAGACATGCTCTGTGAGTCCTATTCGAGAAGGCTGGGTGTCTTGTGGATAGCGTTGTCTTGTGGATAGCGTGAAACTGTCGAGAAGGCTGGGTGAGGTTGTCTTGAAACTGTCCCTAGTGAGACATGCTCTGGTCCTATAAGGCTGGGTGAGGTAGTCTTGTGGATAACGTGAAACTGTCCCTAGTGAGACATGCTCTGGTCCTAGAAGGCTGGGTGAGGTTGTCTTGTGGATAACGTGAAACTGTCCCTAGTGAGACATGCTCTAGTCCGAGAAGGCTGGGTGAGGTTGTCTTGTGGATAACGTGAAACTGTCCCTAGTGAGACATGCTCTGGTCCGAGAAGGCTGGGTGAGGTAGTCTTGTGGATAACGTGAAACTGTCCCTACTGAGACATGCTCTGGTCCTATAAGGCTGGGTGAGGTAGTCTTGTGGATAACGTGAAAGACTGTCCCTAGTGAGACATGCTCTGGTCCGTCTTGTGGATAACATGAAACTGGGTGTAGTCTGGGTGATAATGTAACGTGAAACTGTCCCTAGTGAGACATGCTCTGGTCCGAGAAGGCTGGGTGAGGTAGTCTTGTGGATAACGTGAAACTGTCCCTAGTGAGACATGCTCTGGTCCTATAAGGCTGGGTGAGGTAGTCTTGTGGATAACGTGTCCCTAGTGAAACTGTCCCTAGTGAGACATGCTCTGGTCCTATAAGGTTGGGTGAGGTAGTCTTGTGGATAACGTGAAACTGTCCCTAGTGAGACATGCTCTGGTCCTTAAGGCTGGGTGAGGTAGTCTTGTGGATAACGTGAAACTGTCCCTAGTGAGACATGCTCTGGTCCAAGAAGGCTTGGTTGGAATGGAGTAGATGCCTTTATATTGTCTGTACCATTAGATCATTTTAGTGGTGTGTTTTATTTACCATGCTGACTTTGCATTAACCAGTAATTACGTATTCTACCAGATCCCTCCCATCGACAGCCTCCTCCTCGTCCGACAACAGCTCCCCTGAACATCACAATGGGAACGTTGAAGGTGGTGGCATTGAGATGCACTCAATTCCAGGAACACCAAATGATGATACCAAGACCAGCGTGGACGAAAAATCCCGGGTACGTAAGACTGGCGTGTTCTTCCCTCTTTCCCTGACAGAAACCTCGTATCTTGACGGGCTGATGACGGCAGAGAACCGCCGTCTCCTACCCAACTGCAAGAACGCCTTACACATCATCGACGGCCCCACCCACCGTTACTTCCTCGGTGTGATCGACTTCTTCACACTGTACGAGTATCGACAGAGGACTGGGCGGATCTACAAGAACATCAAATACTGCTGCGCGGACCACTCCACTGTACCCCCTGGCGAGTATGGGGACCGCTTCTTGCGTTTCATCATTGAACACGTCAAGTGAACTATGGGGAGTGAGGGTATATGAGTCGAGATAGGTTTAGTTTTGACTCTGTGTCACTGTCTGTGAATGTGTTGCACACGATGCTATTGAACTGGTTCTTCCAGTGCTTCATATACTCAAATACTCTCAGTTTCCTGTTTAGTTGGACGTTCGACTGTTAAGTTAATGTTTAAGTCTAAGCAACACCTCCATGCTGAGTAGGACTTGTAGTTAGACTACAGTGTACCCAATACTCAATACGGTCTTAATTATTTGTGAGTTATGGCAGTGCTCTATTTTATTAATATATTGCATTGGTTTGATGTAAAGACAAATGTCATCTTTCTGGAATAATCTCTTTATTAAATAATGTAATGTGTAATTAATCAGGGGGTTGACTATTTGATACTCTGGGGGCTGGAATTTAAAGGATGTAATCTGTTCCCAAAATACTGGATACAACTATTGTGTCCCAGATGTGTTGCTGGTCCAAAAAGGTTAAGTACCTCCTTTCATATTGAAAAAATAGTACCGGTATGTCTTTAATACTGACTGCAAAAAATCCTATATCAACAAAACTCACAGGCATCCCAAGCAGGGTCACTTTATTTATTAATAGTTTCTCTAATAAGATAAGTAGATCATTAAAATTTGTGGCTGATTTTAATTTTGCTTTTCAATGTTTTGTTGCCTGATCTGAGTTAAATGAGGTGGGTATTAGGTATTCAACAGTTGTACCTTTAATACCTCCAACCCTTCTGTATTGAGAGGAGCTTGGGTTTTCTCAACATTGAGAATTTCCTTCATTTTGGATCATTTTAATATTTCAGTATTGTCTTCTTTCAAGACTTTATAAACTATGTGACTGTCTACATGATAACTTTTGTACTTGATTGCTTTGTACTCTGTCTTGTTTGGAAAATGTTTTCTTATATAGATATACAAATATCATGGATATTATTTTTCATATTTTATGACTGCTGACTTTCACAAACATATATTGTGGTAATTTTGAAAAGAGGAAATCTCTGTGGGTTTTTATATCTGATAAACTGCTGTGCTGTTCTTCCATTAGAAAAGTATTCATTCAAAGTTGAAGATATGGTGAAAGGAGACTGTGTCACATGAATGAAGCGGAGTCAGTGTTTTGACATGAAGGTTATAAAGATAAATATTTGATGTATGCTGTTTGTGTTCTAATACCTTTGATCAAACAATGCTTGTGTTCTGTTACATTTGATCTAATAAAACTGGTGTTCTGTTACATTTGATCAAACAATGCTTGTGTCCTGTTACGTTTGATCAAACAATGCTTGTGTTCTGTTACATTTGATCAAACAATGCTTGTGTTCTGTTACATTTGATCAAACAATGCTTGAGTTATAACATTTGATCAAACAATACTTGTGTTGTTACATTTGATCAAACAATGCTTGTGTTCTGTTACATTTGATCAAACAATGCTTGTGTTATGTTACATTTGATCAAACAATGCTTGTGTTCTGTTACATTTGATCAAACAATGCTTGAGTTATTACATTTGATCAAACAATACTTGTGTTGTAACCTTTGATCAAACAATTATTGTGTTCTGTTACATTGATCAAACAATGCTTGAGTTATTACATTTGATCAAACAATGCTTGTGTTCTGTTACAATTGATCAAACAATGCCTATGTTCTGATATGTTTGATCAAACAATGTTTGTGTTGTATTACCTTTGATTTCAAAATGCTTGTGTACTGTTATATTAGATCAGACAAAACTGGTGTTATGTAACAGTTAAACAATATGATCTAGAGTTAGCTTTAATTGAATTAACACTGCTAGTACTCTGTTACCTTTTATCAAATAATGCTTGTGTTACTGTTACATTGAGCCTCACACAATATATGTATTTAATTTCCCTTACCATGGTTACTTTGAGTCAACAGTGTTTTGTTCGTATTTGCTTCTAAACTGCATGTAAGACCTTTGTTGTTTTCAAAGCATCTCCAAGATTTATCTTTCCAACTCTGGAATACTCACTACTGTCCAGAGCAACACAGGGCACCATTCCTCAAAGCGATCGTAGGGCCATGACTGTCGTAACTCTGCTGAGTTAGCATAGATGTGTAACAGTCGTAGCGCCACAATCACTTAGTGGAATGGCCCTGCATCTCAGCACATCTCATCTTTTACAGCTACCTCTATATTTTGATACTGAATTTTATTTATCTTTTTACGTACCTGACTTTGAATATACCATTGCGTTTTCAGATCTACTGTTAAGAGCAGAAGCACATCACCTCAAAAAATGATACTTATCTCATCAACTGGAATCATTTTTTTACGTAATTTGTTTATGTCAAATAGGATACCTTTGGTATGACAAGAACATGATAAAAATCTTCATGAGTTCAAAGTTTGCAGATATTCTGTGAGGCAGATAATTAAAGCAAATACGACCTGCTGTGTCATATATAAAGAACACGACATGTCGTTGAGAACCATTTCGACCTCTGTAGGAGATGTGACCCATTAAAGCCATGGTTTAAACATTCCTGACCATGCGAAGGAAATCTTGCATCAAGTGAAAAGCAAGGAAATTCTTCTGTTGTGGTGTCTGTACCGAATTCCTCTATTATATTTTTGTGTTTTCTGCTAATGTGGTGATAACTCAGGTTGCTAGGAAACGTGAAACAGCCTGCTTGTTCATATTATTTCTGTTTCTTCTCACTTTATTTGATGTCCAACTGAATGACAGAAATATTTATTCTGTTAGGAAAGATTTAATATTTATTTGTTTATCTGCTTCAGTCTTCGATTTACAAATCAGCTGGTTTGGCATCAGTGTAGAGACACAGGCCTGATCGAGGTGAAATATGCATTTTGTGGGTTAACCTTTTTTTCTTCTGACAGTCCTCGTGATGAACCAGTTTGTGTCACATTAACCATGCTGTGTATGGTTCTAGTTAATTATTTAAGAGGACATGTGAACTTGTGTTCACTCATGTTGCCATGGTTACCATTAGTGGTTATACTGAATATCAGAGTGCTTAGCTAGATTCATGTAGATTAGTTTGTGGTTGTCATGACTACATTTCAAATGATGAAAGTTTGTTGCCATGGTTATCATAGAACCATCAATTGTTGCTGTGGTTACTGCGACCAGTCATTATGTTTCGAGTATATGGTTCTGTGCCCTAGAAGTGCAAGAGTGCCTAGCTAGATTCATGTAGTTCTGCTTGATGTTGTCATGGCTACATTCTAAATAACAGTAGTTAGTTTGGTATGGTTGCTATGGTTACCATCGCTAAGCGCACATTTAGCCCAAAGATGCTTTGGTTCCATCCACTTGCCTAGACTGTATTCAGTCTTTTGATGCTAGTTTTACAATCTTTGTACTTTTATACTCGCATAACATGGATCTGTGCCCTACATACAAGTATCTTACGCTTCTAACACCTCACTAGTGAAGGCACAAGTGTTTTTCTTTCTAACAAGGTTGAAGTAAGCTTCAAAACCATTTGATCCAAAGAACTGACCACTGAGGTCACCAATTGTGGATTTACCACATAGAAAACTATCAAACATTCATGTATGGACTGAAAAATCAATCTTTGGTCTCATTTTTACGTGAATATTTCCACTGCCTTTTTTGTGCATGGCAAGGGCAGGTAACTCTAACTGTGGATGAACAGTATTGACCAATTTATAGTTATTTGAAAACTTCTATGACAGTGGTTAGGATTGTAAGATGTAGATAAGTAAACTGGAGACTTGCTATTATTATGTAGGAGAGAAGTTAACAGTGTCAAATGGCACACACTTGTCCCATTGGGTGAAACTGTGCTGGCACACAAATTATAATCATGGAGAGCATGGATTGGTGAACTAGGGCAACCTTACCCTGTCAACTTGATGGCAGGAGGGTTAACATTATGTGTCATATGGGCATCACAACTTAGATCTGAGTGAAATAGTTCAAATCCCATTCATGACATGAAAGTCTTAACGCTGCTACACTGGAATCAGAGTAGATGCAGACATGGGTAAGGGAAGCAACTCTGTTTAGTAATTTGTGGCACCCTAGCTTGGTTGACCTAACCATATGTCTATTTTAGCATACTGTTTCTGGGTGTTCATTAAATGGACAATCCTCTGACAGTCATTGATATTTACTCATTGTTAGGTTAGAAATTCAATGTATTTATGTCAGCTTATTATATCATCAGAGAAATATGTATGTTGAATATCTATCAGACAGGCTGTGATAGAATAAGAAGTGATGACTTTGAAAATAGAATACCAGTATACAAACTAGGGTAGATTTAGATTAGAAGTCTTGCCAACACTTGATGATCGTTGCTTGAGTATAGGGCTTTCCCAGATCTTTCAGCACATGCACAATTTTAATAGTAATTATTTATAATTAAATATAAATTTATTGTAAGTCAATAGGAGGCATTACTTGAGATGTTTATGTTGATGATTCCTACAGATGTGTTTATTCTAAATTATAGCCTTTTTTTACACAATATATTTATACTGTATTTATTTTTTAAGTATATCTATTCTCTGTTTTATATCATATCAATTCTTATTTATGTTACTCTATATCTATATTTTCAAAAACATAACTGCATGATTTATGTTCAGTTATGAAATGTGCACATTCTTGTTTACATTGAGTCTCCGTCCTAGAAGGCAAAAGAATTAATATTGAAAATCATGCATCTAAAGTTTGTTTAAGTAAGGGTGATATGGGCTAGCCTAGTGGCTAAAGCATTTACTCGTCACGCCAAAGACCCGGGTTCGATTTCCAAAATGGGCACAATGTGTGAAACCCATTTCAGGTGTCCCCTGCCGTGATATTGCAGGAATGTTGCTAAGAGCGTCGTAAAACCCAACCCAACTCACTCATTCTGTTGGAAAGAAACAGGGATATAGTTTGTAAAGCCATACTCAGTCAGTCTGTTATCTTCAACACCTGGTTGAGTTTATCCAAGGTTACCCAGAGTAATATACCACTTCCAGTTATGATAAATATCTCGGACCCATATGTTGCCATAGTTTGTCTTTGACATCTGTTTAGCTGATTTGATATTGGAAATAACCATCCCTAAATCAACTGACACTGTTGTACATGATTAGTACTGGTGGTCCGATTGATCGAAGATTGGTTGCAGTGACTAAATGACCAAGCATTCGATCATGTTTTCTCATAATCGAACACAAACAATTTTGGAACACTTGTTTGCATTAACATTATTTTTCACAAGGTTGGTTTTGTCTGTGTCATTAAATTTACATTCATAAGCACTACAAGCTCACTCCAAGTTATGACTGAATTTATCTTAAAGACTCCAGGAAATTTATGTTCCTAACATACTAGTAATCCTTTAAAGATGTGAAATTTGCAAATGCATTCTGTGCAATTTGCAAAAAACAAAACAAAAACTTTGTGCATTAACAAACACAACAGGAAAATTTGATATAAGACGCAAACCAATTATTTTCGATGATTGACAATTATGAGATTTTAATGATCAATTATGAGATTTTAACCAATTCCCAACACTAATGATTAGTACAAGTGGTTAAAAGACCGA